GAGAATGAAACTCCTTATGAGCGGTGGTATAGAAGGAAACCAGATGTGGGCCATTTGCGTGTATTTGGGTGTATGGCCTATGCCCACGTACAAGGCAGTGAACGACGAAAGCTTGACAAGAAATCGAGGAAGATACGTTTTGTGGGCTACAGCTTAACTTCAAAGGGATATCGTCTTTTTGATGAGACGAACCGAAAGATGTATATCCGAAGAGATGTGGAGTTTAATGAAAACGATTTCGGCCAGAAGCGAGCTATGACAACAGAGCCAGACCCAACGAGGGAAGAAGCAGAGCAAAACGAAGTAATCCCTGGAAAAGATGAAGGAGAACAAGAAGAAATGAAGAATGTAGAAGATGACTCGCCAGGGGAACCTCGACGGTCAGTAAGAACACGAAAAGCACCAGTCAGATACGGTTATAACGAATACGCAAAAACGGCAACTCACCGCGTACACCATGTCGCCTATCATCTTTCTGGGATTGATGAACCTACATCTATACAAGAAGCAAGATCAGGTGATCACGCTGCAGAGTGGAAAGTCGCGACGGATTCAGAATACAATTCGCTGATTGAAAACAAGACATGGAGGTTGGTTGAATTACCTCCAGGTCGGAAAGCTGTTGGGTGCAAATGGGTGTTTAAACTGAAACACTCCTGTGACGGTACAGTGGAACGATTCAAAGCAGGCCTAGTGGCCAAGGGTTACACCCAGAAATATGGTATTGACTATGATGAAACTTTTTCTCCTGTTGTTCGTTTCTCTTCAATACGTTATCTGCTAGCGTTTGCAGTTCAGAATGATCTGCTGATTCACCAGATGGACGTAGAAACAGCCTTTCTCAATGGTAAACTTGATGAAGAAATTTACATGCAGCAGCCGGAAGGATACATGAAACCTGGGGAGGAGCATCTGGTATGCAAGTTAGAGAAATCGCTGTATGGTTTAAAGCAGTCTTCCCGTTGTTGGAACAAAGTTCTTCGGGAGTGCATTGAAAAGATTGGTTTTATTCAAGCCTCTGAAGATCCTTGCGTATTTATCAGAAAGGATGCACTGACTATTACTGGGGTCCACGTTGACGATCTGATGATTCTAGCAAGAAACATCACGGAGATGAGAAGTGTCAAGGACAGTCTAAAGCTGCAGTTTAAGATGAAAGATATGGGAGAGCTGCATTACTATGTCGGGGTCTGTATCGTTCAAGATGTGAAAAATAAGCAAGTCTTCCTTCATCAAGGACACTATGTCGAAAAGATGCTCGAGAAGTTTGGGCAAACAGAAGCAAAACCGGTGTCTACACCTGCTGATTTGAACGTCAAGCTGCAAAAGGAAGATGGTTTTAGCAGACCAGTTGATGTGACCTCGTATCAATCGATTGTAGGAAGTCTACTTTATGCTGCGATCGCAACTCGTCCAGACATCGCCCAAGCAGTGGGAGTTGTGTCGAAGTTCTGTGCCAATCCGACACAAACTCATTTAACAGCAACAAAGCGAGTCCTCAGATATCTGAAAGCAACTGCATATCTTGGATTGAGTTACAAGAAATCTGCTGATGGAAATTTGATTGGTTACTCAGATGCAGATTGGGCGGGTGATATGGATGACCGTCATTCTACCTCAGGAAACGTGTTCTCACTGGCGTGTGGGGCAGTAAGTTGGCTAAGCAAAAAGCAGGCTACCGTCGCATTGTCGACAGCAGAAGCAGAGTATGTAGCACTCAGTACGGCCACTCAGGAAGCAATCTGGCTTCGAAGATTATTGGCAGACATGGGAGAACCCCCAGAGGGACCAACTGAAATATATGAAGACAACCAAGGGGCTATTTCGATGGCTAAAAATCCCGTGGGCCATGCCAGGACAAAACACATCGATATACGTTACCACTTCGTTCGCGAAAGAGTACAAGACGGAGCGATCACCTTGAAATACATTGGCACGGACGAGATGGTTGCTGACATCCTTACGAAACCTTTGCCTAAGCATCGCTTTGAGAAACTTGTTACTAAGCTAGGCATGAAGACTGTCAAATAAGCAACGTCAAAAGTGGGAGTGTTGTTATTATGCATATTATGTTTGCCGTTGTTATTTTAAATTTGAAATATTTCACAGGAATAGTTAATTTGATCTATGATTGGTCCAGGTGTGTCTTTTCTTTTTGTTATTCAAAATTTGTTTTTTAGGAATTAGCATATATATAATAGTGTATTCTGTTTTCTCTCTCTGTTGTTGTAACCGTTTATTTGGACGTGATCGGAATAAAAGAAGCAGAAGTTTGTTTTAAACGTGCAAAAATCTTTAGNTGTGGGGCAGTAAGTTGGCTAAGCAAAAAGCAGGCTACCGTCGCATTGTCGACAGCAGAAGCAGAGTATGTAGCACTCAGTACGGCCACTCAGGAAGCAATCTGGCTTCGAAGATTATTGGCAGACATGGGAGAACCCCCAGAGGGACCAACTGAAATATATGAAGACAACCAAGGGGCTATTTCGATGGCTAAAAATCCCGTGGGCCATGCCAGGACAAAACACATCGATATACGTTACCACTTCGTTCGCGAAAGAGTACAAGACGGAGCGATCACCTTGAAATACATTGGCACGGACGAGATGGTTGCTGACATCCTTACGAAACCTTTGCCTAAGCATCGCTTTGAGAAACTTGTTACTAAGCTAGGCATGAAGACTGTCAAATAAGCAACGTCAAAAGTGGGAGTGTTGTTATTATGCATATTATGTTTGCCGTTGTTATTTTAAATTTGAAATATTTCACAGGAATAGTTAATTTGATCTATGATTGGTCCAGGTGTTTCTTTTCCTTTTGTTATTCAAACTTTCTCTTTTAGGAATTAGCATATATATACTAGTGTATTTTGTTTTCTCTCTCTGTTGTTGTAACCGTTTATTTGGACGTGATTGGAATAAAAGAAGCAGAAGTTTGTTTTAAACGTGCAAAAAACTTTACTGGTTGTCATGGTATCATGCCGCTTGCGTTAATTGCATTATTGGACACATTCCAATCGCATGATCGCAGAACTTTGTTTACATATGATTGCACTCGATCGCAGACGATCGCACGATTAGAACATGGCTCTATTCCTGCGATCGCACCCGATCGCACACGATGGCACACGATCGCACCCGATCGCACACGATCGCAGAGCTGTTCACATATAATCGCAGACGATCGCTGGCGATCGAGTGCGATCGCCTGCGATCGTCTGCGATCATATGTGAACCAGGCTTTATTTTCTCTTATCTTTCTCTTTTCTTTTGTAAATACTATTTATTACTTTAAAGCCTGGTTCACATATGATCGCAGACGATCGCAGGCGATCGCACTCGATCGCTAGCGATCGTTTGCGATTCTATGTGAACAGCTCTGCGATCGCGTGCGATCGAGAGCGATCGCGATCGCAGGCGATCGCAGGAATAGAACCATGTTCTATTCCTGCGATCGGTTGTGATCGTCTGCGATCGAGTGCGATCATATGTAAACAAAAGTTCTGCGATCATGCGATTGGAATGTGTCCAATAATGCAATGCAAGCGGCATGATAGCATGACAACCAGTTGTTTATCAACTTTTACACGTGTGTGTGTTTTGGCAAGATGGAAGGTGAAATTGACACGGAACAGTTTATGGAAAAAATTAGAAAATACGATGGTTTGTTCAATCGCTTTAGCCAAGAATTTTCTCTTTCTTAAGACTTTCTGCGCCAAGAACTGAGGTTTCTTATTTGATCTGGCAGCGATTCTCCGTTTAAGCAAGACAACAGAAGCAGAATGTTGACACCTATTAAAAGTTTAGGGTCCTTTGCGTTTATGTTGGTTGACTGGAGTTACATTGTATTGCCGCTGAATGGTAAACCATGGACTCGGTTGTCACAGATCGCTGCGATCGACTGCGATCATATGTGAACATGCCATTCGCGATCTTCGGTTGAGTGGTTTCAGCAATCGTGTGATTGCCTGCGATCGTCTACGATTATATGTGCACCAGGCTTAAAGTGCCGATAAGTGATTAGCTGTGGTGAAAATTTGAGAGCCGTTATATCCATAAAAAAATATTATGTTTAAACAACGCAAGATACGATCAAACAAATTAAAACATAATTAGGGAGCTTTAGTAACGAGAGCGGCAACGGCAACGAGAACGGCAGAAAACAATAGGCTTAATGAGCAAAAAAAATCGCCCTGCACGTGCGTTTAACATCTTGGTACATTTCATTGCCGTTCTCGGCAAAACAACAACGTGAAATAACCAAATCTTAGGTTTTATCGAGAACGTGAGCGCATGACGGTTAATTTTTCTTTCTTTTTCCTTACTTTAACGCCGTTCATGGTGATATAGCCGGTCCCTGAATAGTTCGCCAGCATTTTCCAAGTGAAACAAATCGGAATAATCTCGAAAGAGTTACTAAAACGAAACATTAAATTTAATTATTAAATTTCATTAAATTTTAAGCTTCCTTTTAATTTTAAGCTGACACGTACGCTTCCCATATTTGTAGATTATGGTATATTGGCTGATATACCATAATGGCTAAGCCAATAAAAAGTCTTGAATTGCATTATCCAACGATCCAGTTTTTAATAATATACGTTATAACGTATAGTAACAGTCGACGCAAAACCTACCAAATCGCTCAAATTCGCCATTTAGATCCACGGAAACGACAATACACAGCAAGTGAGGTAGGTTTACATTTATTTTGAGCTTTAACTCAGACATTTCATGATATAAGTTTACGATGATAAGACTCTTCAATATTCTCCCATACATTCCTTTATATTTCGAATAAACAACCAGACTCGTCGCTTGTCTGGGCTCCCTGTGG